TTGCATGCTGTGCACTCTTAAGTCACCCTTGATCCTCTTTCTAGAAGGAGGTATCAGTTAGGTTCATGCTTCACTTTTCTGCAACCAGCAGCAGCTCTTTCTTCCTGTCATCTTCCCTCTGCCAGTCTCATGCTCTGCCTCTTCACAGTTTGGCAGGCCCAGGAATAGTCTCTGATGTATCTACAAGAATCCATCAGGAAGACAGGCAGGTGCTTTCAGTTCCGCAGAGTGTACATCCAGCCTCATGGTCATGCTTGGCTTGCAGGCCAGTTTCTGCACTCTTGCTTAGTAAGCTTCATTCACTGACAGGCAGCCAAGCAGGGACCTGCCAGGGTGGAGTTTGGACCTGGCAGGGAGTAAGCAGTGAGTTGGATGGGTATGGCAGGAGGGTGCTGCCAGGGAGTGACACTGAGCAAGCACAGGTCTCTGGGAGCCAGTGGCCAGCAGGGTAGGGCACAATTTTAAACATAGGAGGTATGACAAAATGTGCAGTGAATGTTCAAATGTTTAAAAAATTTATTCAGTAAAAAACAAACTGCAATCAAAACACACACATGCACATGCAGGCACACATGGACACAGCCAAGAAAAATTCCCCCTTACTTGGAACATACCAATCTCATCACCCCTACTACTCTCTGGAGCAGCTCCAGAGGCCTCCACCCTTCATGTCTTTGTGTCCTGATAAGCTGTGATCAAAATATGGTGAACACTGCTGCCAAGGTCATCCAACAGAAAGACAGATTTGTAAAAACACGGCAGTGTGTCCTAATCCACCCCATTCACCACATCTCAAGCTATGCAACTTCCATCTCTTCCCCAAAGTCAAAATTACCTCAAAAAGGTAAAGGTTCAGAATTAATTCAGATATAGAGGCAGCCAAAATAGTACAACAAAAGACACTCAGGAAAGAGGAGCTCCAGAATTGCTCCAGAAAATGGCAAGAATGATGGGGCAAGTGTTCCTAGAAGCAACGGGGACTATTCTGATGGTGATTGATGGCAATGTGTGTCCCGCTGCAAACTGTTTTCCCAAATTTGAACAATCACCTTATCCTTGCAACACACCTGTACACATGTGCACAATGAGTGTACCTGAGCTAATGCACTGTTAATGTCAGTGGACAGGTGCTGTGGGTGGGACTACTATGACTCTCTTATGGCCTGGGAAGAGAGAAGGGCACAAATGAGCAGAGGCCACCAGCTACATATTCACTTGAGGGAAACCAGACTGCCCAGATCTTGGTGTGCTCAGAGGCTGATACTGGCCTTTGAGTCATTTCCACTTCCTTGTGCTATTTTGATGTTTTATATCTGCTTGTTTCACTATTTTGTAAATAGGGATAAGTGAGAGGTTCAACCAGTCTAACAACACATACTGTACCCCATAAATGTCAAATCAAACATTTTTATTTATTCCTGTGCATATCCAACAGATTTATGCCTACAACTTTTTCATGTGTTTGGGGTTTTTTCTTTTCTTTTTCTTGTTTTTTCTTTTTGAGACAGAGGCTCACTACTGGTTAAGGCCAGCCTTGAAATCACTATGTAACTCAGGCTGGCCTCACCCCACAGCAATCCTCCTGCCTCAGCCTTCCAAGGGCTGGGATTACAGGTGTGTGCCTCCACACCCAGTTATAGTTTCTGCTAAAGTAAAAAACACAGTCACCTGAAGAAATGCATGAGGTCTGGAGCTTGAGTACAAGATCAAGAAGGCAGAGTTAGGTGGGAAGGCCTTGCCAGCCCTAGCAGGCCTCAGGAAGTCTTTGCAACACCAGACACACTGTTGGTACACAGGCTCAAAGTCAGAGGCATTACACAATAAGGATCTCCAACGTGAGTTGGTTTTGTGGAGTACAGCTCTCAAGTAGACCAGTCTTAGCTTTGCAGTTCTTATCTTCATTACTTCATCTGTTCAAATCCCTTGGTTTGATTTCAACCATATCAGTATGTAGTCAAACTTCCTGAAGTCCTCTCCAGTAACCTACTGGGAATGTCACTCATGGGGATGTGATGCTTCCTCATGCAAATCTACCCTTAAAAGTCAGGGGAATTTTCTACTTCATAGGTGGACAGAGCTGCACTGTCTATTCTCCAGTTGCTGGAAGTGCTTCAGTCAGTTACAAGACTTCTGGAAATTGCTTCTGCACTGGGTATCCAGCAAATGTTACCGAGACACACAAACACCACCAATTCGAGCCCAGGCTTGGCCTTCTTTCCATGCTGTCACTGCACCTAGCAACCTTCACTCTAAGGTCTTTACACATAGGCATGTATCTACACAAAGACACAACTAGAAATGATCAGAGCAGTTGTATTTAAAGTAGCAAAACACAGAAGTCACTCAGATGTGCATCGTCTGGGGAGTGGACATGTGCGGTGTCTCCCTACACAGAATGCGGCCCCACCATACAAGGAAAGAAGTATAGCTTGAATCTCAAAAACATGCTAAGTGACCGAGTTGTCACAAAAGATTCCCCTTATGGCTGGAGATTTTGCTCAGTGGTACAGCGCCTGCCTGGAAAGCGCAAGGTGGTGAGTTCAATTCCTGGTACCAGAAAAAAACAAAACAAAACAAAACAATTCCCCTTATATATTACAGAAAGAGCAAAGTGGAGCATGAAGAAGCAGTTAGGTGGTTGCAAGAGATCACAGTGGAGGGCAGTGATGACTGTCAAGGGGCATGAGGAGAGCTTTTGCAGTGAAGAAACATTTTGAATGTGATGTAGCAGTAGTTGGATGTCTCCTACATTTACTAAATTTACCAATCTATGTAAGTAAAATGGGTGAACTTAATTCAAAATAAGTAATTTCACAGTAAAGCTCTTAAAATAAGGTAACTAATAAGATTTGAGAAATATGCAGTGAACTCAGTCTTGGGGTGACTTGCACACCCAAAGAACTGAAAACCATACAGAGACATGTTTGCGACAGGGCTTGAATAACACTCTCAGGAACCACTGGAAATATTACCATATGTGCAGTGAGGGTGCACTGAAAGGGAGTTCTGTACCCTCTGCTAAGTGTCTCAGCCCAAGCTTAATGTGCTCTTTTCCTGCCATCTGGAGTCCAGGGTGAGTAATGTGATCATCTTCATCATTTAACCCCAATTAGAATGCACTATACTTCAGAATTAAATGCAGTGGATGAAAGGAGGAAAGGCACCTCAGGAAGGCATGTTGGCCAAAGATAGCAGTATTGGGGGTAGAAGAGGATGTCCCAGAATATGCGACAAGGGATACAGCATTTTAACAACACAGGTAAAGTACATGAGGCCAACAAAGAAGCAGTTTGAACACAATTTGGCACATCTGTACAATGAGATAAAAACACATAACAAGTTTTTATTGGAGAAGCCAAAAAAAGTTTAGGAAACACAAGGAGGTGACGAGAAAATTGGTCACATGGATGACCAAAAAGAGTAGGAGGCAGGGAGTAAGGAGGATGCAAGGGGAATTCTCAAAGACAGGAGAACCTGCCTGGATGTACAGACCATTGGGGAGCCAGGGGATGGAAATATTTCAGCAACTCATGTGTGAGCTTTCCAATATCACTTGTCAAACAGATCCTACAGAAACTTTTTAGCAGGTCTGCAATGATCATTTATGCGTGGTTCTAACATTGTCAGCAGAAATCATGAAAATGACAGTAAACTTCAGGAGACAGCCCACTAAAGACCTGCCTGGCTCTCCTGAACCACCCGCCACTGGCCCAGTCTCCAAGGGCAAATGGACATGAGCAGTCCTCACTCTCACAAAAATAGAGCCTGCAACTTCTCTGGACAGAAATAGATGAGTGGTGAGCTGTTTGAAATGTTAACAATAGATGCCATTTAATATAGGTGGACAATAGGTAGAGACATTTTCAATAGTTGGCAATCTTGGTGGTTGTTACTGGGGAGCTCTAGGTATGCTCTTTCCACCTTGTGCCACCCCTCAAACTCTTGTTTACCCCTTCTAGCAAGTGTGGCCATAGTGAGAAGGTACCATCTATGTGCCAGAGAATAAGCCACATTTGATATACTGATGCCCGCTTCTTAGTCTCCCAATTTGTAAACTAATTTCTGCTGTTACAAGCTACCTAGATTATGATACTGTTTTACAGCAGCCTGAACATACAAAGAGCCTAGGTTCATGTAACCTGGGTTTCTGTTAGCCTATATAAATATGAGCACCGATGGAATAACTGAGAGGTGAAAAGACTTTTGACACCCAGGTGTGCAGAACATTCTCCAAGGCATCACTTTCATTTCAGGCAAGAGTATGGACAGTAGGACAAAAGGTAGAGGCATGAGGGTATAGCAAGGAAAGGAAAAGGAATCCAGTCCCAGTGTGATGGTGAGGATGGTGGATTCCATTGGGACTTACACATCCATGGCTCCCTGGGTATCTTAATTACTCTTTGCTGACACAAAATACCCAACACCCAAAGTTAAAGGAGGAAAGGTTATTTGGGCTCACAGTTTGTAGAGGTTTCAGTCCATAGTTGGCTGGCTCCAAGACAGGGTGGCATGGCGGAGGGCAGTCACAGAGGAGAAACAGTTCAACAGCAAAAGGCAGCAGCAAGTGACAAGTGACAGCAGCAAGCCCTCTTTCTGTCTCTTATATACTATCCAGGCTACCTACCCTTAGGGCTGTGTGGAGAGGGACGTTCTTTGATTAGAAATCACTGAAGACACACAATGATTTGTTTATTGTTGCAAAAATGAACTGAAACCTTTCACATGAAGATAAGAGTGTATTTGAATTGCAGGAGATCCCTGGTTTTTAGTCTTGCTAAGCATTGAAAAATTAATGGGAAGTAAGGACTGTGATTGTTGTGGATTGCTAACTGGTGATCAATTTATACCCCCAGCTGAACTGAGTAAGCGTGGTGCTGGGTGTAGGAGGCCCACCAGGGAATGGTTGCCAGCAGCATAAGAGACAGAATTGGAGAAGGATAATGCTTTAATTACTAAAACTTTTGATATCTGCCCATTTGTACTAGCTATGCCCTCGGTTCTTGCTTAATAAAAGAATGATAGGTGGGTATCACTCACACCCAGGGTGAGGCACCTGAAATCCTAGCATTGCACCATGAATCAATACCAGCGTCACATACTTGATCTCAGCATCACACACCCTATATCCAGGCACCTCTGGAAAGCCACACCTATGTCCACATGACAGAAATCTAGATACAAGCAACAGCAGTGGGGAATACAATGAGTGCCTAATAAGAGGAGACACAAAGCAGGTTTGGCAATGAACATTATGCAGGAGATTCTTCATGAGCTAGGGCTAGATGGAGGCATGAAGAGTGGACGAATGGCTGTGTGAATGTGTGGGTGTGTGTCATCAAGGCAGACCCTACGTGCAATCACGCCCACCCTTCCCTCCCACACACACGGAGCTACAGCTCTGTGTGCTTCTCCTCAGCACCCTTTAGTTCCTTCATCTTCCGGGGCAGGGTCTCCATCCAGAACTTCAGCCTGGAGGCCTTCAGGGCACGGCCCACAGTAGGCTCAATGTCCAGCTGCAGGTACAGCTCCTCATTGTCCAAGGCAGGCCAGTGGGGCAGGCCCTCACCATTGGGGTTCCTGTGAAGATACCCTCCCAATAGGGGATGAGAGGTCAGTCTGAGTCCTGTGGAACCCCTGAGTATCTTGATTTGCATCAGGACCAACACCTAAGCTGGCAAGTGTAGAAATAAGGGGAACTTTTCCTGATACAGAGAACAAAACCATCCCACTAGTGTCCCTTCCATGTGAGACAGGGCTTCCAGTCCTGTTTTGTCCCTCCCTCCTAGAGACGGGCTGTGACTGAAACACAGCACTATAATCCACCACACAGGTCACTGGGAGGGGGATGAGTAACCTATACTGGCAAGGCTCCTCTCTGTGCCCACACAATTCTTGGTCTTGCAAAGGAGTTAACACATGATTTAAGGACACACATATGCTAACAAAGTCCCCACAGGTAAGAGGGGCACCTGATGGGCTCACACACCATGTGAAGATTGAGGTATCATCTCACCCGTTTCGTGCAAAGTTGGCCCAATACTTCATGATTCTCCTATTTAGTAGCTCCTCCTCCTCAGTGAAGAGAGCTGCAGAGAGAATGACAAAAACCCAGGTCTTAGACTGATGCTTACTACAGTCACCCTGCTGCATATTCATGTAGGAATCTCATTGCTCACCTGGATACCAGGCCTGGTCCTCTCCTTCCCTCCTTACCCTAGAGCCAGGCCCTCCCCTTGCCCAACCTTCTTCATCTCAGTCTCTAGTCAAATTGACCATGGGATCTGTGCTGTTCCAGAAGGTACCCTTTCCTTTGACTCTGGTAAGTCACTAAAAAAACAAATATGCTGTGAGACAGTCCCTCCTGCCCTTTTCACCCATGCTGGACACCATGTCAGGATGGACAGTTGGAGGAGGGAGCACTGAGTGGAGTGCAAGGGCATGGATTCTCATTCCTGCACTGTCTCTTGAGGTGTAAGATAGTGGACACTGACCCTATCCTCTCTCTGAGCCTCAACTTCCTCACCTGGACTGTGTATGAATTCACAACTCAGGGACCTAGCTAGAGCCCATTCCTACTCCAGGGTGTCGAGGAGACTCACCTTTCTTGCCCCATAGGAAGTTTCCAAAGACAAAGGAAACATGATCACCATGGTCAGCCTTCACATGGGGTGGCCTGCTGTTTTTGAGGAAGTTGGGAAGATGCTGGAATTCATAGAAGTAGACAGTGCCATGGGAACCTGAGGAGGTGGACAGCTGTGACTTCGTGACCTCTTAGCTGGAGTTGTTCTGCCTCACCCTTGGTGATAAAACACCTAAGTCCAACGTTGGCTGGAATCTGAACAGTGTGGTAAAGAGCCCCAGGGTGCAGCAGGAACAATGGGAAGGGCCTTGGATAAGTATTGACCTTGGACTTCCCAGCTGAGTAGTTTGGGCAACTCACTGAGTGTTACTCGCCTCAGTTTCTCCACTTATATAATGAGAAAGGTGTCTGTCTCTTACATCAGGTATGAAAATGAGTTTTAGAGCATATTAGGTGAACTGACTCGTGGGTTTCATTTTGGCATATATGTACATGCATTTAACACAGTGATCATTCTCCCCCTATTTCCACCTTCCCTCTGTCTTCCTCCTTCCCCTTATTTCCTTCCTCTTTTCTACTAGTCTTCCTTTCCTCATATCTCTCCTTCTGGGCCAGGGATATAGCTCAGTGGCACAAGCGCCTGCCTGGTAAATCAAGGTCCTGAGTTCAATTCCCAGTACCAAAAACAAAATACGTCTTCTTTTTCTCCATATTTCTCCTATGTAGGAAATATGTGATATGTGACATTCTGTGCAAGGCTCATTTCACTTAATATAATGATCTGCAGTTCCATCCTTTTTCTTGCAAATGATGTGTGTCCATTCTACTTTATTGCTGAGTAATAGCTATTGTATATACACACTTTTTTAACCTGTTCATCTGTTGATAGACACCTAAGCTACATCACACTACTTAGCTATTACAAAATATGCTGTAATAAATATGCCTAGCCTGGCCTCTTTGTAGTATGCTGACTTTATTTCTTTCAGAATATACTGAGAGTTCTATACTTAGTCTTAGTTTTTGGAGGAACCCATGATGATTTCCATAAGGCCTATACTAATTTTATTTACACCAAGACCAGGAGGTTTCCTATTTCCTTCCATCCTTAATCCGCACCAGCATTTATTGGATTTAGTATTCCTAAAGACAGACACAGTATTTTTTTTTGTCTATGTGTGTGCAGCACTGAAATTGGACCCTGGGCTTGCACTGAGCTATATGCCCAGCCCTTTTTTAATTTTTAAAATTTTACACATGGTCTCACTAGTGGACTAAGTTGGCCAAATCAGGCTGAAATCCATGATCCTCCTGCTTCAGCCTCCCATAGTACTGGAATTACAGGAGAAAAGGATCTTGTACCTTTTACATATTAATATCCATTTCTCCTAGCACTGCTGGCTAAACACTTATTTTTGTCTCCTTTCCAAAAATGACATTCAAATAGTTGTTTATGTTGTTATGGTGTTTCCTATTCTGTTCCATTGGTTTATGGATCTATGTTACATTACTACCATTCTGTTTTTATTCCTGTGGCTTTGCAGTATATTTTGAAATCAGGAATTGTGACCCTCCAGACTTACTTTTCTTGCTTAAGATTTAAACACAAAGGTTCACTGAGATGACAGACGTCAAGCATCTGGCACCAGAGGCTCAATAAGGTGTGGGAACGGACCTGGACTCTACAGACCTCACTTCACCTCACAGTTCTGAGCTATTGCATAGACAGTCAGATCTCAGTTACTGATGTACTCACAATGAAAATGTGCTACTTTGAGTGCAGGAATCACGAACATAGAGTCTGCCATCATCTCATGGAACTGGAGTTGGAGGACTTGGGGGTCCTCATTGTCTCCCATGTACTCTTCCATCAACAGGTCACCAAACTCAGCAGGCAACATCTAGGTGAGGTAGATCATGGAGAATCAGGTTAGATAGGTTTCTGGGTATTTGTGGGAGCTTGTGGTGGGAAAACAGCTGATGGACTTGGGATTGTAAGAAATGGGCAAAACTTGGGGTGACCCCACCTACAACCACATACATAGCTGAGCTTGTTTTGGATGAGATAGCTGTATCAGCATGAATCTGGGGTTGCCATATCCTTGGGAGAGGAACTGTCTTGGCTATACGGGTCGAGTACCTGGATCGCTGAGCACTCTGACCCTGATTCTGAGGGACAAATTCTCTATGCCTCTGCAATTCTGGAAACTAGTGTGGCTGCTGCTGCCATTCTGGAACATGGCACTCTGTGGCTTTCTTCCTAAAGCAATGTCTTGGGCGGGGGATATAGTTCAGCAGCATAAGCACCAGCCTGGCAAGCTTGAGATCATGAGTTCAATTCCCAGTACCAAAGAACAAAACAAAACCCAAACAATCAAAGCAAAGTCTTTCACCTTTGCAGTTTTGAGGCTGCAAAGAGTGGAGACTTGCTGCTTCTTTTGCTGTCCTCAGGGCATCTTTTTGATACTCTTCTTCCTTCTCAGCAATAGAGATCTCCTCAGCTCTATCTTTGCAGTCCACAGTTTCATTGGAACTTCCTTTCTGACCAAGCTCACAACATTTTAAATTAGCCTGCTGGGCTCCTTGCTCTTGATTCTCAACATAAATCTGGGTAAAAATCCCCAACAGCAGCCATGCCAGTGCCTCAACATTTGACTGCCTTCAAATTTCTTCTCCCAGACTAATTAGTTCACCACCCTTAATTTTAGTTTCAGGCAAAGTCTCTGGACATGAGCAAAATGCAGACCTTTCTGCCAAGCCATAACACACATCATCTGGAGTCCAACAACCAATGCAGTCCTTCTTCCCAGTAGAAACCTCGTGAGCCTGGTCTTTACCAATGGGATTTTTATCGGCCTTTTGATCTTCTGAGCTCTGACCAAAATCCCGCATACAGAACAGCCAAAGGAGTTCTAGCGCTTCTCTTTCAGAAGAAATCTCCAAACCTTTCCAAACACTTCCTATAAGCCATTTCTAAAAGCTCGTGAATCACATGGTCAGGTATAGTCACAGCAAGGACCCCACTTCTCTGGTACCAAATTCTGTCTTGGTTACTTTTCTCTCATTGTTGATCCCCAACACTCAGATTAAAGAGGGAAAGGTTTATTTAGCTCACAGTTTGCGGAGGTTTCAATCCATACTTGGCTGGCTCCAAGGCAGAGTGACACATGGCAGAGGGCAACAGCTCGTGGTGGACAAAGATAGCAAAAGCAGAAGGAACAAAAAAGGGAGTGGCAGCGGGAAGAGCAAGCCTCTTTCCCTCCCTTTTATTGTATGTAAACTACCCATCCCAGGTGGGTATAGCACTCAGA